ACACAAACCTCTTCCTGTGGGTGGAGTCCAGGGCGGAGGGGGTGGAGCTTATTGCTCTGAAAGACAGGAACACGTAGTTACGTAAATAAAATAATAATAAAACTTCATTAATGACGAACTTTTCAAAATAAATGTAACAAAGTGCTTCATGAGACAATAAAAAAGGTGAGGACACACAGGTGAGGAGACACTCAGGAGGAAGAGCGGGTTGGCCGTTAATCGGAAGGTCGGCGGTTCAATCCCGGCTCCTCCAGGCTGCACATAAGCAAGATACTGAACCCCGAATTGCCCCTGGTGGCTGTTCCGCCAGTGTATGAGTGAGTGTGAATGTTAGTTTCCGTTTGAGCACTTAGGCTCAGTGTATGAATGTGTGTGACTGGTGGATGCAGATGTAGTGTAAAAGCGCTTTGAGTGGTCGAAAAGACTAGAAAGGCGCTATACAAGTACGGAGCATTTACATTTAGGAGAGGACACACAGGTGAGGAGAGTACCTGGGGGTTCTGTCGGGCCAGCTCCTCTATCTTGTGCCAGACCTCCTCTCTCTCCTTCAGCTTGTATTTCTCTCTGCAGACACAAACACACTCGGTCACACCTGCAGGAAGGTGAACCAGGTGAACCTGCTGTGCGCGTGTGTGTGTGTGTGTGTTACTTTTGCTTCTCGGCCTTGTATTGCTGCGTGCAGTCGTCAAACAGCTTCTGGTTCATCTCCATGAAGAGCTTCAGAGCGTTGTAGATCAGCCCGTGGATGGTCCTGAGGAGGAACCATTAATTTAGATTAATTAACCTCAGAGCAGCTCGTTAATTAGACTGTTCTGAGTGAAAACTCAAAACTTTAACTGAACCTAACAAGTGTGTTGCTCAGAGCATCACACTCTGTGGAGTCCTGATCCTGTTGTCCATCAGCAGGGATTCATTATGTTCATGTGTGTGTGTGCGTGTGCGTTACTTGTTCCAGTGGCTCTTGGAGTTCTTGTAGAGGGCGGGGAACATGATGGGGAGGATCTTGGCGGCGTTGTCACTGATCAGACTCATGATGTACTCGTTGTTCCAGTAATACAGAGCTCGCTCCGCCACCTGCACACACACACACCTTCATCATCAGGTCAGAGTTCATCCCCTCACAGCAGCGGCCATGTTGGTTGACAGATTAATAACACGATCAAGGAATAAATGGGGATGCACTGTTACAGGTTGAGATCAAACTTTATGCAGCCCGACGACTTCAGATCAGGATTTAAGGCGTTCATGTTCTACATCTCAGGAGAATCCCAGAGTACGGCTGCACGATATTTGGAAAAACTGACATTGCGATTTCTACAGGACTTTTCACCGGCTGACTTTAATTTTTATCTATTTGAAAAGAAATGAGCATCCTGGAATCACCGGGGTGACCCGGTGGGAAAAATAACTGATCTGAAGAATTTCCTATTTTTCTGAAGATGCTTCAAGGCAGGAAACATATTGGAAGCTAACGGGGGCGGGGCTTGCTTGTGATTGGTGGTTGTGTATCCACGAACCCTGAGATCAAAGTTAATTGTGTTCAATCAGACATCTCTTATAGATGAGTGATGGAAATGAGAACTGTGGGAGTTTTCCTTTTGTATCAAGCAGTAAAAAAGCTGAGGAGTTATTTTGACCTGCTTGACGTCGTTCTGCGATGTGACTGCAGCGCCTGGGCACGCTGCGACGGCGATGCTGAAACGATATGTTGTGCAGTCCTCCCGCAGAGGCTGCAGAACTTAACTTCCTCTTACTTGTGTTTCCAAACTTCACAGAACCTCAGTGACCTCGTGGACCGACCGACAGTGTGATGCAGCCGCCCAGATGGCTTTGCTGAGTTTACAATCACAGTTCTGTGTTTTAATGGTGCAAACAGAAATTCATGGCTGTACAGGTCGTTTCACCTCAGAGGGAAAAGATCACAGTTCAGAAACACGTGTTTTGGCCTCATCGCCCAGCGTTACAGGAAGTTCACAAACTGGACAGCAGAATCTAATTAAAGTCATGAACCATCAATATTAAAATCCAGTAGCATCATGTTTTTCTGCATGATGAGTACTTTTACGCACACAATTTAAATGTCCTGCTATAAACACAAAGTGCAAAAACGTGTGGTTTGCAAACACTTAAACAAATAAGGAGCTGTTTCCCAGCAGTATTCCCTTTACACAGCAGCAATAAAATATTTCTGTTAAATCTCAACTTAAACATTAATGTGATCAAATCAAATATTAAACCAAAGCTGTTGTCTCTGCCAGGGCGTTACCTTTTATCTAGCTTGATAAAACAAGTTAGTGTCCAGTTTTCTGAGCAGGTATCAGCAGAAACATTTTTCTTTTATCAGGGAGCAGCAGAAACAGTCTGTGTTCAGCAGGAAGTGTCGCTGCCAGAGTGAGGGGAAGTGCTCGCCTCACACACACGAACGACCATCGCCGAAGTTGAATTGTCTTGAACTTTGTACGTGACGCGCAGCACGAATCACTGGAAGAGAGACTCGCTGTTTGGGAGTTTCCACAGTCTATTACTGTTTACTGAATAGGACATCAACAGGAGGGAGTTCACACAGCAGAGCGTCCCGCAAAAACTAGATGACGGCCTATCAGGTAAAGTTATGTAACCTGAAATTTTTAACTTAAGTGTAATAGGTTACAGCAGTGTTGCCACGGTTACTCTCAATAGAGCGCCTGCTGTTTGCTCGCAGAGCGCTTGTCTTATTTCTCCCACACGCTGCGTCCAGCGTAGTCTGCCGAGGCCTCTGCTGCTCGTTTGGGTGGCTGATTATTCAGAGCCAGTGAACAACGGACTTTCAAAAAAACAATCATTTTAAACTGCGTTAACGTGCGATAAAATAACTGTCGGTGTTGAATTATTAATGAGTTAATAACGCGTTAACGTGCCCAGCCTTACTTTTGATACTTGAAGTATATTTTGATGCGGATTCTGGACTTGACTGCGGGACTAGTTTTCCTGAAGTAAAAGATCTGAGTACTTCTTCCACCTGTTGGTAGTTTAGCTGCAGGTTCTGGTTGAGGCTCACATTGTAGTTCTGGTTCTGGTACCTGGAAATGCGGGCTGGACACACACTTGGCGAGCTGTCTGAAGAGCGGCTCTTGGACCTTGACGAACTCAGACGGCTCGATGACGTCCAGGATCTCCTCCAGCTCGTTCAGGAACATCACCTCCTTCGGACTGTGAGTCTTCGGCCAGAACTTCAGCAGACCCATGATCACCTGCAGGGTCAAAGGTCACAGGCGGCAGGAAGTCAGACTCCTTCACACACCTCTCCCCTCACCAACAGCTGCCCACAGCGGCGTTTCACACCGAGCTCTCACTCCGTGTTCCTGTTAATGTGCCGGACTCACCGGCTCCGTCAGACTGCTGTCTTTCTCCAGGAACTGGACCACGCAGTACGCCAGCTGCAGACACACGGGTTAACGTCAGAAACAGATTTATAATGTCCTGAGTCGTCAGTAAGAGACAGACAGGCGGCGCTCTGACCTGAGGGTGGTAGACGCTGAGAGACTTGACTTTATGAAGTGGCAGAAGAACTCGGATCAGAAACATCTTGTGTTCTTCTTTCAGAGGGAGAGCGAAGCCGTTGATGATGCTGAGGAAGAATTAAACAGTTCAGTCATTCTGCTTCTGGGAGCCCTGTGAAATTTAAACCACTTATTTAAAATGTAATATCTGATGTCACCAGTCAGTCAGGAACAAAGAGCCACTCTATGACAGAAGGGGCTTTACAACACTGCACTGCAGCCACTTCACATGAATGTGTACCATCATAACACTGCAGGGATGAGGCCTGCCTGAGCTGTGCTGCAGCTGACCTGACATTCATCTTACACTCTGTGTGTGCACGTTACCTCCCCAGGATCTCCAGCAGCTCAGCGATGCCGTTGTGATGTTCAGTCTCATAGATGAATCTGTAAAACAACCAGACCAACCAGTTACACAGACTGGGAACACTGGGTTCTCATCAGACACTCTGGTTTTTACTTCACGGTATTTCATGAGTAAACACAGGTCATGTGACTTGTTCATTTCACAGTCACCTGTGAACCAATCACCGTAGACCATGTTTGTGGTTCCCTACGTGTTTATGCTTCTGTACGCGTTTGTGGTTCTGTAATGTTACTGGGTCTCTAAATGGTTCAGTACATGTTTGTGGTTCCCTACGTGTTTGTGGTTCAGTACATGTTTGTGGTTCCCTACGTGTTTGTGCTTCTGTACTTGTTTGTGGTTCTGTAATGTTACTGGGTCTCTAAATGGTTCAGTACGTGTTTGTGCTTCTGTACCTGTTTGTGGTTCAGTACCTGTTTGTGGTTCAGTACATGTTTGTGCTTTGTACATGTTTGTAGTTCTCTACGTGTTTGTGGTTCAGTACATGTTTGTGGTTCCCTACGTGTTTGTGCTTCTGTACTTGTTTGTGGTTCTGTAATGTTAGTGGGTCTCTAAATGGTTCAGTACCTGTTTGTGCTTCTGTACCTGTTTGTGGTTCAGTACGTTTGTGCTTCTGTACATGTTTGTGGTTCTCTATGTGTTTGTGGTTTTGTACGCGTTTGTGGTTTTGTACGCATTTGTGGTTCTCTAAGTGTTTGTGGTTCTCTATGTGTTTGTGGTTTTGTACGCATTTGTGGTTCTCTATGCGTTTGTGGTTCCCTATGTGTTTGTGGTTTTGTACGCGTTTGTGGTTCTCTAAGTGTTTGTGGTTTGTATGTGTTTGTGCTTCTGTAATGTTAGTGTGTCTATAAATGGTTCAGTACATGTTTGTGGTTCCCTACGTGTTTGTGGTTCAGTACATGTTTGTGGTTCAGTACTGTTTGTGCTTCAGTACCTGTTTGTGCTTCAGTACATGTTTGTGCTTCTGTACATGTTTGTAGTTCTCTACGTGTTTGTGGTTCAGTACATGTTTGTGGTTCCCTACGTGTTTGTGCTTCTGTACTTGTTTGTGGTTCTGTAATGTTAGTGGGTCTCTAAATGGTTCAGTACCTGTTTGTGCTTCTGTACCTGTTTGTGGTTCAGTACGTTTGTGCTTCTGTACATGTTTGTGGTTCTCTATGTGTTTGTGGTTTTGTACGCGTTTGTGGTTTTGTACGCATTTGTGGTTCTCTAAGTGTTTGTGGTTCTCTATGTGTTTGTGGTTTTGTACGCATTTGTGGTTCTCTATGCGTTTGTGGTTCCCTATGTGTTTGTGGTTTTGTACGCGTTTGTGGTTCTCTAAGTGTTTGTGGTTTTGTATGTGTTTGTGCTTCTGTAATGTTAGTGTGTATAAATGGTTCAGTACATGTTTGTGGTTCCCTACGTGTTTGTGGTTCAGTACATGTTTGTGGTTCCCTACGTGTTTGTGCTTCTGTACTTGTTTGTGGTTCTGTAATGTTAGTGGGTCTCTAAATGGTTCAGTACGTGTTTGTGCTTCTGTACCTGTTTGTGGTTCAGTACATGTTTGTGCTTCTGTAATGTTAGTGTGTCTCTAAATGGTTCAGTACGTGTTTGTGGTTCCCTACCTGTTTGTGCTTCTGTACCTTTTTGTGGTTCTCTATGTGTTTGTGGTTTTGTACGTGTTTGTGGTTCTCTACATGTTTGTGGTTTTGTATGTGTTTGTGGTTCTCTACATTGTTCTGCACATGGTTCTGTACGTGTTTGTGGTTCTGTATGGGTTCCGCAGGTGTTTTTGATTCTGTACAAGTATGTCGGTCAATCTGTATCTGGTTTCGTGGTGCTTGTGTTCTGACCTGTAGAAGATGTTGTTGATCTGGCGGCGGATGTAGGCCCGGAGGCCGAGGAACTTGCCGTAGATCCGGTGGAGGATGGTCTTCAGGAAGTCTCTCTCTCTGGGATCCTCGCTGTCAAACAGCTCCAGCAGCTTTAATGTTAAACAAAAAGTCAGCGTTCCGTCTGAATCACCGTCTTTTCATTCGTTTGGAGTCTCAGAGATAAGATCTTACCGACATTACAAACTTCTGGTCGATGTGTTTTTGGCGACGTTTGGCTGGAAGTCTGGAGACTCCAGGAAGCGAAGGAAGAACTCATACACCAGCTGTGGAGAAACACACGGCAGACATGTTGCTCTCTAAAAACACAACAACACACCATAATTATAAGAGGGTCCAGCAGCTAATAGTAATGATAACTGCACTGGGACACCTGCAGACAAACAGCAGGGCAAAGGTAAGCACAAACACACACAGATTTACCATAGTTTTTATTTTATCATCAGTTATTTATTCAGGACGTCTCACTGAGAACAAAGATCATACACACTCATCCACCCAGTTAAATGTCATCAATCAGTAAGTAGAACTTTAAAATCTAACTGTGTCGCAGTAGTAGTGAAGTGCACGTTACTGGAAACCAGTCTTTCCCAGTACAGCAGGGGTGCAAACTATAAAATAGGCCATTTATGTGATGTGTGTGTTGATGGGGGTGGGAGTGGGTCTGCACCTTGAAGCCACTTTTACTAGTGTAAAACAGAGGATACATATTTTTTAGCTTGTCAAGCCCCGTGAAATGACTCATTTCACATCCATTTGGTCGAAAACATTTGGAAAGTCTCACAGTGGGGTCCGGGGACCCCCTGGGGTCCTTGAGTGGGTTCCAAGGGGTCCCAAGCCAAAAGGAGAATAATTTATTTTCACTTTACTATTTACATCAATGAGTAACACAGTGACACAATGTACGACTATTCTGTTCTGTAATAAAACATCTAAAAGCCAAAACCCTATCAGATGGGGTCCGTGGTCTAATTTCTGTCAGTATAGGGGTCCCTGATGCAGAAACACTGGTCTAGATCCACACAGTTACTATTTTACCCCCATTCAAGTTGGCGGAGGGCTAAATAGGAAATTAGCCAGGCCACGGGCAGAAGTCACTTTATCACCTTTTTCAGTTTGCATCCCTGGTTCTGAGTATGAGGAAGTTCACATCAGTAAACCAACAGTTAAACCAGCAGAGGTCAGCAAAAACAAGATGGTTGTGGGCTCCGGTGTTGGCTGTTAAAACGCAGCTTTATTGAAAACACCTGTGAGCTGGTAATGTAGAAACAGGTTTCACACTGTCTGATGTCAAAACACGACCGTAACTCCAAGATGAAGCTCTGGGCTTTCACCGGTACACACACACTCAGTGTACCTGAAGGTGAGGCCAGGCAGCCTCCAGCGTCGGTTCGTCCTCTCAGGATCAAACTCGGCTCCGGTCGGGTTGGAGGACGGAGGAAGAGTCCGGAACAAGTTCACTGAAAACTGGAAACCACACAGCTGTTACTAACAGAGCGACCAGGAGACACTCCTCCCTCCCTAAACATCAGGGGTGGTTAATGGATTTCCTCAAGTACTGCACTTTGTACAACTTTGAGGTACATGTGCTTTACTAAGTATTTCCATTGTCTGCTACGTTATGCTTCTACTGCACTACATTATTTAATAAATGAGATTACTGTTGAACATAATCTACAAATAAATCCTGATGCATTATTAGAGATGAAGCAGCCCAGCAGAACAT